TGAGTGACCGGTGACGTTTGGTCGAAAGAAAACAAACAGTCTGGTAGAGATGGCTTTCTTTATAGCAAGGCACCGATGTCTTAAGGTCATGGTGAGTACTGTAAAGATGAATTTTTTAGTGTGATATAAAAAGGAGTAACACCTCGATCATGGTTTGTTCAATGCAGTGACTTGGTGGAAGACATTTGTGATATCGCTCTACGATAAAAGCTGAAAAATACAGTCTACAAAGAGGAAGACAATCACAAACAAGGTCGGTCGAAAAGTTTCAAATTTCATTTAGAACCTAAAGTATATTAATTAAATTGCGTAGTACCGGTGAGGGGTAAAGTTGACTTGTTTAGAGTTACTCTGAGCTACTAAAGTCAACTGCCAAACGTGGTGCTGGTGAGCCAAGCTTATGCAAATCTTTCGAGAGAGAAACTTAAGGAGGAAATAATGAAATTCATAATTTTTTTCTTTTTCTGAAAGGAAGATATAGAGGGCTATTCAGCCATTATCCCTGAATGATTAAATGTTCCAACTAAAGTGAACGCATTTCGGTTTTGTACTTCAAACGCTTATGACGGATGAGCATGCAAAAATGGAACATTTTACTCTGTTTAACAGGGGACGTCAGGCCGCAGTGTGGGCAGCATTTTTCAAATGGGAGGGTTATAAAGTGGTTTTAAAGCTAGGCGTAATATTTGAATAGGAACTGATCAATTATCAAATGAGATCGAGAAAAAGTTCAGGAAGTGATGTTTCTTTACTTAAGAAAATTCATTCTGTACAAGAGGTGAACGAATGACACTCACTTCGCAAAATTTTAAAACGAAAAGGAATTTATTTCGCTAATATCTTACACTAGATAGCGAGGGTTTAACTTTTCAGTTTTCACGCGACTTCGTAAAATTCAAAATGAAAATCGATAATCACGGAAGAATGAGTAAGGTTAAAACTCTGGGAGGAAGATATAGAGAGCTGCTAGGCAGTTTAGTCAGAATAATTAGGTGTTCGATGTTGAGTGAGTGTATTTCGGGTTTGTACGTCAGACTTTTATAATAAAGCTAGATGGATTTGAGCATATAAAAACAACATATTTTACTCTGTTTTACAGAAAACATCAGGCTTCAGTGTTCATCGCTTTAAACGGTTGGATATTCTTTACGAAAACGATCTTAGTCCAACTGAAGTTTGTTTCTTGAGACGGTAAGCTATCTGTGCGTGCCAATCAACTTTGAATGTCTTCGTGAACTTTTCGTTTTCTACCCGGGGTGTGATTTGTATGATCGATGACAAGAATACTAATGAAAATAAGTGAATGTATTTCGGTTTTTGGGAGTCAGACATTTTATTAGAAATTTGAGCTTCCAAGATGAAAACATTTTTCTATTTTTAACAGGAAACGTCAGGCTTCAGTGTTCATCTCCTTAGGACGGTTGGATTTTCATTTCAAGGTCGATCACAGTAAAACTGGAGCTTCTTTTTTGAAACGGTAAGCTATCTGTGCGTGATGATCGAGACATTGTCTTCGTGAAAATTTATTTCAAAATTAGTGTGATTGGATGATTAAGACAAATATATTGACAAAAAACTAAGTGAATGTATTTCGGTTTGGCACGTCAAACGTTACAACAAATGACGGATTTGAGCTTCTAAAATGAAGCATTTTACTCTGTTTTACAGGAAATTTTACAGGTAAGCTATCTGTGCGTAATTTGCTGTATATACTGTATGATTTACTGTATAATTGTNNNTAGATGCGTTTGAAAGGTACGTTGTTCCGATCGCTTGGTCAATACGACAAGGCCCGAGAGTATCTGGAGAAAGCACTCGCTATCAAAAAAGCTGTTGGCGACAGAGATGGAGAAGCAACAATCTACGGAAACTTAGGAACATTGTTCCGATCGCTTGGTCAATACGACAAGGCCCGAGAGTATCTGGAGAAAGCACTCGCTATTAAAAAAGCATTTGGTAACAGAGATGGAGAAGCAGCAATCTACGGAAACTTAGGAACGTTGGTCATAGCACTTGGTCAATATGACAAGGCCCGAGAGTATCTGGAGAAAGCACTCGCTATCCAAAAAGCTCTTGGCAACAGAGATGGAGAAGCAACAATCTACGAAAACTTAGCAACATTGTTCCGATCGCTTGGTCAACACGACAAGGTCCGAGAGTATCTGGAGAAAGCACTCGCTATTAAAAAAGCTGTTGGTAACAGAGATGGAGAAGCAGCAATCTACGGAAAATTACGAACGTTGGTCATAGCACTTGGTCAATATGACAAGGCCAGAGAGTATCTGGAGAAAGCACTCGCTATCCAAAAAGCTCTTGGCAACAGAGATGGAGAAGCAGCAATCTACGGAAACTTTGGAACATTGTTCATAGCGCTTGGTCAATTTGACAAGGCCCGAGAGTATCTGGAAAAAGCACTCGCTATCCAAAAAGCTCTTGGCAACATAGATGGAGAAGCAACAACCTACGCACACTTAGGAACATTGTTTCGATCACTTGGTCAATACGACAAGTCCCGAGAGTATCTGGAGAAAGCACTCGCTATTAGAAAAGCTGTTGGCGACAGAGATGGAGAAGCAAATAGCTACAGAAACTTAGGATCATTGTTCATAATGTTTGGTCAATATGACAAGGCCCGAGAGTATCTGGAAAAAGCACTCGCTATCCAAAAAGCTCTTGGCAACATAGATGGAGAAGTAATAATCTACGCAAGCTTAGGAACATTGTTTCAATCGCTAGGTCAATACGACAAGTCCCGAGAGTATCTGGAGAAAGCACTCGCTATTAAAAAAGCTGTTGGCGACAGAGAGGGAGAAGCAACAATCTACGGAAACTTTGGAACATTGTTCATAGCGCTTGGTCAATATGACAAGGCCCGAGAGTATCTGGAGAAAGCACTCGCTTTCAAAAAAGCTGTTGGCGACAAAGATGGAGAAGGAAATTGCTACGGAAACTTAGGAACATTGTTTCTATCGCTTGGTCAATACGACAAGGCCCGAGAGTATCTGGAGAAAGCACTCGCTATCAAAAAAGCTGTTGGCGACAGAGATGGAGAAGCAGCAATCTACGAAAACTTAGGAACATTGTTTCAATCAGTTGGTCAATACGAGAAAGCCCGAGAGTATCTGGAGAAAGCACTCGCTATCAAAAAAGCTCTTGGCAACAGAGATGAAGAAGCATCAAGCTATGGG